GAGAAGATCCACTTCCTGGTATTCAGGATGTTGCTTATAAGTGCTATCTGCTTAGAGCTCAAAGCATTGTTAGAGATTCCACACACCCACTCCATGGTCTGTTTCTGTTGCTCCCCTCTGGGAGGAGGTTTCGAAGTATTTCTAGCACGACTACCTGGTTCTGTAATAGCTTTGTTCTCCATGCCATCCGTCTGGTAAACTCGCAAGATTTGTTTTTCTCGCCATGTACATGTATACATAACCCGAACTAGACTGTTGTTTCTCTGTGTCATATATGCGGGTATATGCATAATTCTGCATTTATTTATTTTTGTCATATTTATGTAGTGCATATTGGAGGTGGTGACCCTTTGATAGCTGAATGCATCGAAATGTCATTTTAATGTATGCCGATTAGTGTACATTCAAAGTGACAATAAAGTTAAAGTTATTATTAGTTTTTATTATTAATCAAGGAGAGAAGCAATCTGGAATTAAGGAGAAGCTTCCTAACAGTGAGGACAATTAACCAGTGGAACAGCTTGCTTTCAGAAGTTGTGGGTGCTTCATCACTGGAGGTTTTTAAGAAAAGACTGGACAGCCACTTGTCTGAAATGGGTCTCCTGCTTGAGCAGGGGGTTGGACTAGAACAGAGTTCCTCAATGTTTCCAGGTTGGAGGCCCAGAGGGAAAGGGAGGAGCAGAAAAATGTGCACACGCATGCACACAAACAAGTATGTGCAGTGGCAGCGGCCACGTGCATGTGCAAGTGGACTGCGCGCAACTGCAACAGTTCTGGCAGCAGCGCAGGTGCCTGTGCACCCATACAAGTGGACCGCAAGCAATCACGTGCATGTGCAAACAGGCCGCTAGCTACTGTGTAATGCGGGCAGTGGCCCTAGCACTCCCATGCACGTGCAAACGGGGCCGCTAGCGCAAGTGGGGGGGATGCCCACATATGTGCACGCACTCACCAGCCATTTCCACAGCCTGCTGGCCAACAGGCAATGACCCAGTACTGGGCCACGGCCCATAGGTTGGGCACCCCTGGACCTCCAAGTTCCCTTCCAGTTCTATTCTGATTGAGATCCGTGATAGGTTTTCAGGTAGGCCAGCACTAACTTTTCAAAGTTTTTCATAACTATAGATGTCAGAGCAACTGGTCTGTAGTCATTCAGCTCCTTGATGGAGGGTTTCTTGGGCACTGGGATGATAGTAGAGTTTTTGAAGCAAGAAGCATAACACATCTCTAGTGATTTATAAAAGATGCGGGTGAAGATGGGGACAGCATATAGTTTCAAGCAAGTAGTTACTCTGTCTGGGCCTGGTGCTTTTCCAGGCTTTTATTTGTGAAATAGACTCTCACTTCTTTTTCTATGATCACCAGAGGTGGGGGCCACAGAGGGATGGAGTCAGGTACAGGAGACTTAGCTATTGTTGGTGTATCTGAGATGGAGAGGACCGTGATAGTTGATGCATATGTTTTAATATAAAGAGAACCACACCACTGGTGTTTAATTTTACTCAAATTTATTCAATAGAAACTGAAATAGTTTTTTTTAATTTCATGTGATTTTATTTTTTCTCCAATTACCTGAGGTCCAGTTTGATGCTGGATCATTTACAATTTCAGCACGGGAGCTGTTATTATTCTCCTTATCCAAAGTATGGCAACTGGGGACAGGAAAGAAGGGAGGGATTCAAAGCACAAAAGGAATCACTTTCAATCAATGCAACAATTACAGGGGTCTCCAGATGTGAGGAGAGAGCCATTGTGGCTTCCACCACGTTTAGGCGCCAGGATGTAAGGTTTTCCACTTAACCTCACAATTGCCCCAGCATTACTCAGAAATTTAAAAGAGCCAAAGAAACTCCTGAGCAGAGGTTTCAGCAAGCAAACATTTATTTTGATAAAAACAGAGTTGGGTGACCCCATCTCTCTTCATAGCTGGTAGAGAGATGAAGGCAACAACCAGAAAAGATGTCTTCCACCTTTTATACCTTTTCAGAACAAAGAGATCAGGTCTTGGTACTAGGCATAAGATGGCACAAAAAAATAATTCCTAGATGATGACTCATACACAGCAACCCAGGCTCCATCCGTAACTCCTTTCCCCCCTCCCCTTACTGTGCTCTTTTCATATAAGCAATCACCTATACTTAAAGCATGAAACCCTTACTTTTCCAATATATATATAAAGCATCTGATCAAGCAATTAACTACAAAATAATGATTACAAAATAACAAAACAATGATTATATGATAACACTATAAGTATCAATATAAAATGGTTACTATATATAAAATAAATGCTAATGTCAAACTTAAACATATTAAAATCATAAGCACAATAAAATCCCTTCAAGATGATAAGAAATGGCAGATTGGAGAACTGGAGAGAAAGTCTGCATTTCAAACTAATTGGAGAATGTGATTTATGACTGTCAATTAGAGGAGGGAGTTGTGCTATGTGTTCAGGGGAGGGGAATTTAGATTCTGATTCAGTGCCAGCCTGTGATCCTGGTAATTGAGTCTGGGGAATCAGAGGAGAAGGGGCCTGGAGAGCCATCAGAGTCGGAGGGAGGCTCTGATGAGCTGCAGGACTTAGACTGATAAGGAGGCTGGTCCTTCCACTCGTGATCAAGCTGAGAGCCAGCTGTGCTGGGAAGATGAGTCCCACTTGGAGGAAGCACAGCTGCAAGACCTCAGAAATGCTCGTAAACGTAGGTAGGTCACAGGAGTAAGACAGAGGGAGGCAATGGGGCAACTCCAGGGGAAGAGGAGAAAGCAGTGAGAAGCCACACCATGGGGGCTGCATTACAAAAAGGAAATGTGTGGGCAGGGCTGGTTGCTGGAGGCAACAGTTTGCAAAGAACCTCAGAGTCAAGGGATCATGGTCTGTTTATTTTGTCTGTGAGTTATTTCCTGTTTGACTCGAGCTCCGATTTTGCTTTTTTTCGATTTTGCTTTTGGACAAGGTCTCCATTGGAAAAGTGTTCTATTGCTTTGGTTTTCTGGGAAAATTATCAGATCTGTAACTCAAATAAAAAGGGTTTATTTTCCAGTCTACTGTTAAAAGAGGGTTGTCTTTGTGAAGTAACAAGGATGTACGTAGGCTGGGACAGAACAGACTATGTACGTGCCAATGGCATGCTATTTGAATAAAGATTCTTTAAGGTAAACAATGCCTCAAAGTTCTTTGAAGAGTTTCATATGTTGGAACCATGACAGCCTGTTAATATGCAGTACCACTACCCTTATTGTCCTGTGGCTACATTTCAGTCACCTGGCAAATGACTTGCATTTACGGTGTCCCAGTTACGTGACTGCAATTTGTGATACTTGAATATTGCTTCAGATCCACCACCTCTGTTGCAAATGCTCCAACTTTTGTGGAGAGAAAAGAGTAGGGTTTCGTGATAAACTATGAGTATATTAAGGGATGAGGAAGGGAGAGAAAACAATTATAGTAAGAATAGGGAAAAGAAGGGTAGTTAATGGGGACTGACCATGGAATAAGTTGAATTTGTATCTGCATGTCTGCTATAGCAGAAACAAACCAAATACAGCTTCATCTAGAACAGATGCATCAGGGAGACACACCGCTTTCTACTGGCTAGAGCCGTGGTGGCGAACCTATGGCATGCATGCCTCAGGTGGCACGCAGAGCCATTTGTGTTGGCACGCATGCAGCTGCTGCTACCAGCAGCTCCCGCAGGTCCATTAGGCCGCTGCCGCCCAGAGTGGCAGTCCCACCCAGCACAAAGGAGACGAAGCAGCCAGCTAGCAAACCCCACAGAGGTGCATGCCCACGCCCAGCAGGGAAAAGGCCACCCCAAGTGGGAAAAGCCAGATCCCCATCGGAGTCATGGCTGCCCAGGCCTAGCAGAGATGGGGGAGAGGTATGCAATCCTGGCTGGAACTGGGGGGCCATGGCACTAATGGGGATCCAGCTTTGCCCACTCGGGGTGGCCTTTGGCTTGCTGGGCATGCTTTACCACCTCCTTGGCGGCGGCAGCCTAATGGAACTGAGCAAGCTGCTGGCAGCGCCGGCCTGAGGCACAGGGGGGAGGCAGGCAGTGCAGCAGCTTGGGTACCTCAGCTTCAAGTTGAAAACAGAGGCGTAGCAGCTGGATTGCTCTATCGTGCTCACCTTACTTATTAAGAGCAATCCCGCTGCTGTGTCTCCACTTTCTTCAACTTGGATGGAGCTGAGAAGCTCCTGGTGGCCACTTGAATGGGGAGGATGAGCTTTGCAGCTGGGCCACACCTGGGCTACACCCTGCTGCTGCCTCCCAAACTCCACTTTCACCACTGGGTGTGAGCAGTGGTGAGGAGCTCCATCCTGGGGTGAAAGCAGCAGCAGGCTAACCCTAACTTCCACCCTGCCCCCTCCCTCGCTTGCCTCACCCTGCAGGATGAGCCTCCTGCCCACTGCCCCACCTGCCAGAGACCCCCTGAATCTCCCCCTACCCTGCTCGGGCTCCCCCACAGGCATCCCTCCCCAGGAGCAACATCGAAATGGCCATACCCACCCAGTCTGCCATGACCACCGTAGCCACACGCACCCAGCAATACGTAAGTGGGTTTTGGGTTGCAGTTTGGGCACTCGGTGTCTAAAAGGTTCACCATCTCTGGGCTAGAGAATCGGCATCTATGTAACATTTGCTGGCTGAAATCAGAATCAAGAAACAATTTGTGAGAAGCAAACTCACTTGCAAAAACACAGTAAAGATACTAGTTCGTGAAATCGCATAACCCAGCGTCTGAGCTTTGTAAAACGGCCGTTTTCTTGGAACTGACCCCCAAATGGGAACTGCAATGTCCATCTTTAAATGATAGTACTTTCAAAAATCCACAGTTCATAAATAAAACATCACATCCTAATTGTTTTTATCATTAGTAATTTCATCTCTATGGGACTGCCAATTGTGATGGTCAGGCTCATTATTTTTTCCTTTCCTAGATTAGCACACACAAATACAAAATGCATAAGATTTAATCAAGAAAGTCTATAGGGATTCTCATCCAAATACAAATCTTTATTGCAAAATTATGTCATTATTCCTGAAGCTCTCTCCAACCTCCTCAGATTTATATGATTTCTCTTCTGTATGAATCCTTTTTTTTTTTAGATGTAGGGAAACCATGACAGAAGCTCTTTCCACACCCCAAATATTTATAACTTTTCCATGTGACTTCTTTTACACAAATAAAGATCACTACTATTAGTAAAACTCTTCCCACACTTAATGCACTTATATGGCTCCTCCTGTGTGGATCCAGTTATGGGAATTAAGTTGACTGCTATATGCAAACGACTTTCCATACTCTTGGCATTTAAATGAGTTCTCCTTAGTGTGTATCCTTTTATGGGCATTAAGATTACTCCTTTGGCTGAAACTCTTGCCACACTCCATACATTTATAGGGCTTCTCCCCTGTATGGATCCTTTTATGATTAATAAGGGAACTATTGAACGCAAAACTCTTTCCACATTCGCTGCATTTATAGGGCTTCTCCCCTGTGTGGATCCAGCTATGGGCAATAAGTTGACGCCTAGCAGGAAAACCCTTTCCACACTCCCCACATTTATATGGATTCTCGCCTGTGTGGATCCTGTTATGGTAAGTAAGTTGACTTCTACTAGTAAAGCCCTTCGCACACTCCACACATTTATATGGTTTCTCCCCTGTGTGGACCCAGCTATGGGAAATAAGTTGGTATTTACTAATAAAGCCATCTCCACACTCCACACATTTATATGGTTTCTCCCCTGTGTGGATCCAACTATGGGAAATAAATTGATTTTTAGTAGTAAAGCCCTTTCCACACTCCATACATTTATATGGTTTCTCCCCTGTGTGGATCCAGCTATGGGAAATAAGTTGACATTTACTAGTAAAGCCCTTTCCACACTCTACACATTTATATGGCTTCTCCCCTGTGTGAATCCAGCTATGGGAAGTAAGACCACTCTTTTGATTAAAGCCTTTTCCACATTCCATGCATTTGTACGGCTTCTCTCCTGTGTGGATCCTTTGATGTCTCTTAAGTGATGCATTTTCACAAAAGCCCTTTCCACATTCCACACATTTATACGGCTTCTCCCCTGTGTGGATCCTGTTGTGGGCAATGAGTTTCTTTCTAGCAATAAAGCCCTTTCCACATTCCACACATTTATATGGTTTCTCCCCCGTGTGGATCTTTTTGTGGTAAATAAGTTGACTTCTGTTAGTAAAGCCCTTTCCACATTCTGTGCATTTATATGGCTTCTCCCCAGTGTGGATCCTGTTATGGTAACTAAGTTGACTTCTACTAATAAAGCCCTTTCCACATTCCACACATTTAAATGGCTTCTCTCCTGTGTGCATCTTGTTATGGTAAGTAAGTTGACTACTATTAGTAAAGTCCTTCCCACACTCTCTGCATTTGTATGGCTTCTCTCCTGTGTGGATCCTGTTGTGATAAATAAGTTGGCTTCTATTAGTAAATCCCTTTCCGCATTCTCCGCATTTGTATGACTTCTCTCTTGTGTGGATCCTTTTATGTTTTAGAAGAATGGAATTTTCAGAGAAGCCCTTTCCACACACCATGCACTTGTATGGCTTCTCTCCTGTGTGGATCCTTTTATGTACCACAAGTAATGCATTTTCACAGAAGCCCTTTCCACATTCCATACATTGGTATGGCTTCTCCTCTGTGTGGATCCTGTTGTGGTAAATGAATTGACTTCTATTAGTAAAGCCCTTTCCACACTCGATGCATTTATATAGCTTCTCTGTGTGAATCCTTTTATGTTTTCGAAGGGAGGAGTTTTCAGAGAAGCCCTTTCCACATTCGGTGCATTTGTATGGTTTGTCTCCCGTGTGGATCCTTTCGTGGGAAATAAGACTACTGGTCCGAGTAAAGTTTTTTCCACACACTCTGCATGTATATGGGTTCTCCCCTGTATGGATCCTTTTATGGCTAGTGAGTGAACTCATTAGATAGAAGCCTTTTCCACACTCCATGCATTTAAATGGCGTCTCTCCTGTATGGATCATTTTATGGAAAATAAGGGACTCATTTTGTCTGAAACACTTTCCACATTCAGCACATTTATATGGGTTGTCCGCTGCATGGATCACTTCATGTTTCCTTAGGTATGTATTTTTACGGAATCCCTTTCCACACTCCCTGCATTTATATGGCGTCTCTCCTGTGTGGACCATTTTATGTAAAGTAAGGGAATCATTTTGACTGAAACACTTCCCACATTCGACACATTTATATGGTTTCTCTGCTACATGGATCCTTTTATGTCTCCTAAGGTATGATTTTTTAAGGAATCCCTTTCCACATTCCATGCAGCTAAATGGCTTCTCTCCTGTGTATATCTTTTTATGGGATAGAAGGAAGTCATTATCACAAGAGAAAGTTAAAGTAGAATTGTAATTTTTTCCATTCTCTCCGCTTATAGCATCTTCTCCTTTGTGTTGGTTTGAATAATGTTCTTTGAATAATTTGTCTTTGAAGAGTTTTACATTTTTCTCAATATTTTTTCCCTTTAGTTTTCCCTTTTGGGCAACAAAGTCTTGCATCGGAGCATCAATGGAAGATGAGCTTTCCTGATTCCAATTATCTGACAGGGTTCTCTCACGGCTTTCTAATTCTATTTGAATCACAGGCTTCTCCATTCTATCTCCAGCAGTGATCACTTGTAATGGTTCCCCAGAATCTTTATTCTCCTGTCCATTATTACCTTCAAAGGAAAAGAGAAATGAAAATGCTTAGAGTAGAGTAGAGCTGGAAGGGGCCATGGAGGTCTTCTAATCCAACCCCCTGTTCAAGCAGGAGAACCTATACCATTTCAGACAAGTGACTGTCTAGTTCAGTGGTTCTCAACCTTTTTAATGCCGTGACCCCCAACTGGTCGTAAGTTGAGGACTACTCAACTGGTGCAGCACCGTTTGCAGAATGGGACTTTTGGCGGGCTCAGCAGGGCAGAGACAGCCTGGACAATTCCTATTGTCTTTTGAAAGCCAATAGAATTAGACTCTATTCAAGAGAGTCTATTCTATTGGCTTTCAAAAGCCAATAGAATAAAAGGGAGTAGCACAGCTAAGAAAAAGGGGGAAAAAATGGCGGACTGCGTTGTTTGGCGACCCCCGTGAAATGGTCGTTCGACCCCAAATGGGGTCCCGACCCACAGGTTGAGAACCACTGGTCTAGTCTCTTCTTAAAAACTTCCAGTAATGATTGCTAGCAAGGTTAGGGGGGGGGGGGAATCAGACAATAGGAAGTCCTATGAATTTCCTTCTGGAATTTTCTAAATTCCAGTATGTCTATGGTGATTCTCAGTCATCCAGATCATAATTGTCCAAAAGATGCTTTTTCACGAGGCAACTGGACTTTCTTTTTTTTCTTTTGAAGACGTTTCGCTTCTCATCCAAGAAGCTTCTTCAGCTCTCTAGCAGAAGCGAAACATCTTCAAAGAAAAACAAGAACGTCCAGTTGCCTTGTGAAAAAGCATCTTTGGGATAAATTCCAACATCCTGCAGTTTTGATTGGTTATGTATAGTATAGAAATGCTAACTTCTATATTCTTGAACTATAAAAAAATACCTAAAGCTTCATTTTTGTTTAGAAATATTCTTATATATCCACATCTGACCCAGAATCAGCTTTAAGAGTTAATTTAAGTTGGATTCGTTCGATGTGCTGACGAAACAACTCTTCTCTCAGAAACTAAAGGCCTGATCATCTGATCAAGAAAATCAAAGAAGGATGTGAGAATTTTGGCCTCTTTCTGAACATCAAAAAGAACAAGCTAGCTCATGATCACTGCAAAGACATCAAAACAGAAACATCAAAACAGAAATTGACAGTGAAGAGATACAATAGATGGAAAAAATCAGTTTCCTCACTGATACCATATTTTCTGGTGTATAAGACGACTTTCTAAAGCATTGAAATTGGCGCCGGAGTTGGGGGTCGTCTTATACGCCGGAAATTACGGTAGTTTCCAGCATATAAGACGACTTTCTAGGCATGTAAATCGGCGCCGAAGTCGGGGGTCGTCTTATATGCCAAGTCGTCCTATGGCCGGAAAATACGGTAGCTCAAAGCAGTGAACAGAAATAAAACATTGGCTAGCACTGGGTTGCACAGCAATAATGAACATGAGCTGAATATGGAAAAGCAAGGACATCAGTCTTGCAACCAAATATAGATTAGTCAGCTCTATTGGGTTGCCCATAGCCACCTATGATTGTGAAAGTTGGACCTTAAAAAAGCAAGACAGGAAGTGACTCATTTGAGTTGTGGTGCTGGAGAAGGCTCCTGCGTATTCTTTGGACAGCAAAGGTGGCTAACAAGCAAGTACTGGAGCGCATAACATCAAACATGTCTCTGGAAGGAAAAAAAAAAACCCACAAAACTTCATCTCTCTTACTATGGGGAAATTCACGGGAGAAAGCAATTATGTTTGGAAGAGTTAGTGGTAAAAGGAAACCAGGCCGCCAAGGAACATGGAGGCTGGGCACTACAAAGCTGACACCAGCCAGAGCATGGAAGATGTGTAAAGACTTCACTCTCAGAATTGCTAAGAGTTGGGCACAACAGAATGGATAACATCATCTGCATGAGACTCTGGAAAGAGTGCAGAGAAGAGCAACAAAGATGATTAGGGGACTGGAGGCTAAAACATATAAGGAATTGTTGCTGGATTGGGTATGTCTAGTTTAACGAAGGACAAGGGGGACATGATAGCAGTATTCCAATATTTCAGGGGCTGCCCCAAAGAAGAGGGACTCAAGCTATTCTCCAAAGCGCCTGAAGGCAGGACAAGAAGCAACGGATGGAAACTAATCAAGGAGAGAAGCAACCTAGAACTAAGGAGAAACTTCCTGACACAACAATTAACCAGTGGAACAACCTGCCTCCAGAAGCGGTGAATGCTCCAACACTGGAAGTTTTCAAGAAGAGACTGGACAGCCATTTGTCCGAAATGGTATAGGTTTCCTGCCTGAGCAGGGGGTTGGACTAGATGACCTCCAAGGCCCCTTCCATCATCATCATCATCATCGTCGTCATCATCAACACCACAGGTGTATATTACAGGCCACCCAAGCAAGCAGAGAAAATAGATGAGCCTTTTACTGATCAGTTAGCTAAGGTGTGCAGGAAACATGCCACAGGAGTAATGGAGGACTTTATCCTGAAATTATCTGGGAGACAAACTTTGCAGACTTCCCCAACCTTTCCGGGTTTGTGGCCCAGAAGGGGGAAAAGAGGGGATGGTTTTGTGGGAGGGGCAGGTTCATGTTGGCACGCATGCATTCGCAGGAGCGTGCAGGAGCAGCTGTTGCTCATATGAGTGGGGCTGAGAGTGTCAACACTGCAAATATTGTATATTCTTGCTTTTGACAATATGCAGAATTGTCTGGTAACTATGGGGTTAATAAAGAGCAGAAGGGGCGTTGGGGGTAAAGCCTGGGAAAGAAAGGCTAATTTAGGGAGGGAACATGGTGATAATTTAACTGCTCAGAGGAAGAGAACTTAGATCCTACCATCCCTCCGTTGTGCCTGTGCCGACATATTGTAACAATAAAAGACTTTTAGGAAAATAAATGCCTGGAAGTTCTTTGGAATGTTTCATTAGCCAGAACCACATCAGAGAGCACCTGTGATGCTTGTGCGAGGCCCTGAGCGCTCGCTTGAGGCCCCAAGCACCCGTGATGATTGCACGAGTGAGGCTGCGAGCGTCCATGATGCTTGCATGAGGCCCTGAGTGCCCATGATGCCCATCACTCTTTCAGGGAGAGTGACCATCTCATATTGGAATTTTTCATAATGCAGACACAAGTAATTGAGCAAAGTCAAACTACTGTTTTAAACCTTAAGAAAGCTAATTTCAACAAACCTGTTTAGGAAGTATTCCATGAATGGAAATCCCTAAAGGGGAAAACAACTCAAGAGCTTGGGAAACTCTGAAAATTGAGATTATAAAAGCCCAATATAACACAATACCACAGAGAAAGAAAAACAAGATTCCCCAAACAAAAACATGGTTGACAAAGAAGTCCCTAACAAACTGAAAGAAAAAAAGTACAATTATAAAAAATGGAAAGAGGGACAGGCAATACCACCACCAGACAGATTCACAACTGGCTGAACAACCACACTCAGGAAGCAGTCCTCAAAGGAACATCTAAATGGAGGGAAGCATACAGTGGGGTACTCAAGTTTCTGTCTTGGGCTCGGTATTCTACAAGATCTTCATGAATAATCTAGGTAAAGAGATAGAAGAGAAACTCATCAAATTTGTAGATGGCATCAAGCTGGGGGGAACAGCTAACACTTCAGAAGGTAGGTTCAAGATCCAGAAGGATCTTGACAGAATTGGACATTGGGCTCTATCCTACAAAATGCAATTCAGTGAGTACAAAAGTAAGGTTTCACACTTAGGCAAGAAAAATCAAATGCGCAGGTATAGAACAGGTGGTACCTGGCTCAACAGCAGTAACTGTGAGAGGGATCTAGGAGCCCTACCCAACAACCACTTCAGTGGGAGCTAGCAGTGTGTTGCAGCTGCCCAAAAAGCTAATGCAGTCCTAGGTTGCATCAACAGAGGGACAGTTTCAAGATCACATGAAGGGATATTACCACTTTATACTGCACTGGTAAGACCACACTTGGAATACCAAGTCCAATTTTGGTCACCACAATACAAAAAGGATGTTGATGCTCTAGTCTAGACCAGATGTCTCCAACTCCCAGTCCAAGGACCAGCAGCAGTCCATCGCATGCCAGCAATTGGGCCATGCCAACAAGGGAAGCCCCAGCCAGGCGATGCAGGCAGCATGCAAAACCACACCCCCTCCGGTACATGGAAAACCTTTCTCCATGGAAGCAGTCCCTGGTGCCCAGAATTGGGGGCCACTGCTCTAGAAAGAATGCAGAGAAGTACAACAAAGATAAGAGGTCTGGAGGCTAAATCATATGATGAATAAATGCCCAAAAGCTGAAATTGGTGTGATGGAACTGAGCATCTCGTCAAGTCATAGAATTCGTTTCTCACCAAGTGTGAAATAGAAATGAGAAAATAGTAATTAATGCTAATAGGTGAATATTGGCTACCCAACAATTGGTAACATATGATTAAAATATATGGAGAGGTTTCTTCAGACATTGATAAAGGGGTGCTCAAAATGATTTATTATCCCCAGATTAATTTATATCCGGAGATGAATTCCAATTCATATATTTGGAAAATATTTTCAGAAAATAAATTGCTTAGAAAATTTCTACCATGTTCCTTGATTCTGAATATCTTTAGAGAAAATTCAATTATGAATTATTGAGAAAGGATTCCAACAATGCTGCCTCAACCTTAGTTTTTCTGATTTGGGCAACTCTGGAATATTCCTATATCGTACAGCAGTTTTGGTTGGATGGACAGCATCAGGAACTAAATTACACCTAACTTCCAGTGTCACAGCTGGTCCTTGGCCTAGCAATCATTTGAAATTACAATGACCTGCCCAGCTTTTTATGACCCAATTTTAAAGTTGAGACCGTTGCAGTGTCCCCCCATCTTTCAGATCATCACAGGCCTTGGGGAAGCAGGGCAGGCTACTCTGTTCCTCCATGTCCTGGGCTACATGGCTGCATCATAGCAGTGGCCATCATTTTTGAAAAAAAAACCAGAAGAAATTGTGGCTGCTCTAAAAATGGTAACCACCTCTAGGATGCAGAGATATGACCTAGGAATGGAATAGTCTGCTCTGCTTCCGTAATGCAGGCTCAAGAGCTCTGGAGAACTTTGAGTGGTAAATACCCAATGGGTAATGGGAGGTGGGGCCTTGTGGTAAAAATCAGGCCAAAAGCATGTTGTGTCCCTAAGGGGCAGGAAGTGGAGCACGGGGTACCTCAGGAGATGGGGGAGGCCTGGAGCAGGTAGTCCAGGACCACCCCACTCAAGAAACTGTGTGTATTAAAACAGAGTTCCCCAATCTTTCTGGGTTGACAGCCTGGAGGGAAAGGGAGGGGCAGGCGCCTTTATGCACACATGCAAATGGGCCACAAGGATGTGCGTGAAAGGGGCTGTGAGCCTGCGCATCACAAACTGGGCTGTGAGCATGAACGCGCCAAAAAGGGGGTGGCGAGCGGTGTAAATGGGGTCACGAGCGCCACTCATAGCAATGCTAGCACCCGCGTGAAACTTGCGACGTTAGCACAAGTGGGAGGTGAGTGGGCGCGCACGCACACACATGCGCGCACTGGCCAGCCACTCTCACAGCCCAGTGGTCAACAGGCCCCGGCTTAGTAGTGGACCACGGCCCACAAGTTGGAGACCCCTGTACTAAAAACTCTGCCGATTAACAAACACATTGGAGAGAGAGGGTGGGGGTAGTTAAATGAGGCTTTTACATGGTCGCCTCATTTAATAACCATCAAGACTTGCAACTGTAACCAACAGGCTTCTTCACCATCACAGAATTTTAAAAATCTATATCCAGCTGAAATTAGAACATAAAATATTTGTCAACGCTGCTAACATTGGATGTTCTTGCTTTGCCAAAGTATGAAGAGGTAGTCACTCTCTGTATATGTTGTGGTATTTTTAGAATTAAATTAGATGATGCTGGGAGGGGAGGAGAAAGAATGTGTGTGGGGATCAATTATGATAAGAAAACCTCTGGCTACAGAACAGAAGGGAACCTTTGCCCTTCAAACTGATTGGAGAACATGATTTATGACAGCAAATCAGGGGAGGGAAATATGCTGGCATAATATGTGCTCAGGGGAGGGGAATTCAGATCTCGGCAATATTGCTTTTGTCTAACGATAACCGTGAGACTATTATATGCACAAAGATGGAACCACTCTGAAATTCCCACAATTGAGAAATGGGTGGCGAAGATGACAGAATTCACCAGAGATGGCTAAATTGACTTATTTGATCATTAGAGAAAGGACAACTACTACAAAGGGGCTTTTTCAAAAGGCAACTGGACTAGGTTTCCCCCCCCCCCTTGAGCAGGACATTTCAATTCTCATCCAACAAGATTCTTCAGTTCTGATTGAAAGGTGTGTGTGTGTGGGGGGGGGGAAATGGAAGGATTTATATTTCTTTGTAGCCCAGGATTTATATTTCTGGTCTTAGTATTCTCCCTGCTGAGGCCATTTGGGGGTTTCTCTGTGCCCTCGGAGTCTCCTGAATCAAGAGTGCAAATGGACGTGGAATCTGCCTGGAACTGCTGAAAGGACAGTGTTGTTGTGAAGTTTTGCAAAACATCGTCCTCAAGGGGGGGGGGGGAATAGTCCACTTGCCTTTTGAAAAAGCACCTTTGAGATAACCATGACTTGGATGACTGAGAACCTCCCATAGACCACAACTACATTTATTAGGGATTGGAAACTCAACTATGGACTTTTGGGGGGCAGGGAAGGAAAAAATGAACTTGTGAAAACAAATGAACTTCAGGGTTTGAAGATTAGAAAGAACGAATTTGGGGAAGAATGAAATGATGTAACTCTCCAGGCATGTCAAACTTTCGACGTTATGTGACGTCGCGCGACGTATCGGAGCTTTTTCTCCATTGCCGGCAAGGGGGTGGGCGCGGTTTTAGGATGACGCGTCCGGCCCACGGGCCGGCAGTTTGACATGCCTGCCTTAGAGACAGAGAGAAGCTAAACTATCATTGCAATTATAACTGCTGTTAAGAAGATTCCAAGTTGCTTTATATTACCCCCCCCTTTTTTCTTCCATTTCTCTTTCTTCGTATGTTTTTCTTATTCGTTTACTACTTGATCTTCTTTATTTTCTCTCCCAAACTAAGTGCTGGTTTTACGCTGATAAAATTGTAACAAAAAAAAAAAAAAAGAAATGGCTATAGCTCTCTAACTATACAAATTACCCCCAACTCTTTGACTGGGGATTATCAAATCCTTACCCAGAGAGGCCGCATTCCTGTGATTTTCCCGCATGACTTCCCAATGCAGCGTTTTTTGGTCAGGGTCCAGCTGAGACCACTCCTCCTCGGAGAAATACAAAGCCACCTCCTCGAAGGACACAAGGCCCTCCTAAACAAGGAAAAACAGAAAAGGCCAAAGAGGATTTGTTCCATTGTCCACAAATTCCCAAAGCAAAGATATTCACTACATTGAATGGTTGAGCTCCATAGGACTCTGAAGTTTTACTGGGAAAATGGACAGAGCCAAAAGTCTTTGACTAAAGAAATATTCTGGGCAGGTTTTATCGACTCCATTGGTTCTGCAGGACCTTCACTGCCTTCCAGTGAAAGTAACCTGTTTCATTCTGGATCCATTTATTCAATCTGTCCGTCCATCTATCCACCCACCCACCCATCCATACACCATCAGAGATTCTCAGCATTTGGGGAGAATCAACTTGCAGATGGGCCTTGGAATCCCCACTTCACAATGAGTCCAATCCTTCCTGTGTTTGCAGATGGAAATGCGGAGAAGGATTTTATCTATCATTCCAGCGAATGGCTTTCGGTGTCCCCTGAAAGATCAGTCTGGTCCACCCTCAACACGTGCATGAATGTGCTGCCTCAGGGATTGAAGTGAATCTGTATGTTGCTCAGGAATGCAATAATAAACCACCAAACAAGAGGAGAAATGGAAGGGGAGAGTGTTCTGTACATCAGCTTGACTTTCTGAAGGGAGAATACAAATCTAATAAATTAATTTCCCCCTCTTACTTGATTTGGAGGTTCAACCATTCTTTCAGCTCCACCGCAAAGATCGGGAAACTCCATCCTTTGTTTCGCTGTAAGGGACACAGAATTTTAAAAATGCTTAATTAATTGAATCTGGAATAATGGAATACGTACAGAAGATGAGATAGCTGGGATCTCTCTGCGGAATGAAAGACTTTCAACTACCTCCAAAGGTCTGGCGACTTGGATTTTTCTGAAGGCGCCTTCTGAAAAACACATCCTTCTGAGGGGGATTTGATGGAGTTCTCTCTCCCTCAGGATCCTTGATCCCCACAGTGACGGACTTGAAATAGGCGAAAGGAGAAAAGAATTAATTAATTAATTAATGGACATCACACAACATGAATTAAGATTCTTATTCTCTGAATACAACTTCAAAGCCCTCCCAGTGGGCCGTTGAAACTAGGTTAAAAAAAAAAAAAAAACAGCTGTCCCAAACCTATTCTTTAGAACAGTGGTTCTCAACCTGTGGGTCGGGACCCCATTTGGGGTCGAACGACCATTTCATGGGGGTCGCCAAACAACGCAGTCTGCCATTTTTTCCCCCTTTTCCTTAGCTGTGCTACTCCCTTTTATTCTATTGGCTTTTGAAAGCCAATAGAATAGACTCTCTTGAATAGAGTCTAATTCTATTGGCTTTCAAAAGCCAATAGGAATTGTCCAGGCTGTCTCTGCCCTGCTGAGCCCGCCAAAAGTCCCATTCTGCAAACGGTGCTGCACCAGTTGAGTAGTCCTCGACTTACAATCGGTTGAGTAGTCCTCGACTTACGACCGGTTGGGGGTCGCAGCATTAAAAAGGTTGAGAACCACTGCTTTAGAAGAAATAACAGAAGAACATCCTACATGAATAAGTGAAACATCTTCACATATTATGAAAGGTAAAGGATCTTGGTAGAGAGGGGGGAAGAAATCAAACATATTCTTTATTCCCTTCAAATTCCTAGGCTCCCAATTCAAAGGTCTCCCACCTGCAAGTTGATCTGCTCCTTCTGCTCCTCAGCCTGGCTCAGCAGGAAGCCTTCAACCAGGGCCACCGCCTGGGAGCTGGTCTCTGCTCCACACTCTCGTACCCAGCTCTCCATCTCTGGGGGCAGGATAGCCAGGAGCTGCTCCAGAACAACCAGGTCCAGTATCTGGGCTTTGGTGTGCTTTTCTGGTCTCAGCCATCGCCTACAAAAGTCGTGGAGTCGGCTGCAAAGTCTTCGGGGACCCTCAGCCGCCTGGTATTGGAGGCTCCTGAATTTCCAGGGCTGAACTTCTGAACAGACGATGGTTTCCTCCTCCAGGATCTTCTGCCCAGGTCTTGCCCATATCTCCCCACAGTTCCCAGGCTGAATAGCTGAAGGGCCTTTTCCAGTTCCCTCATTTGCTAAAGGTTGTGTCTCCATTCTATCTCTGTTCTGTAATGCAAGTCCAAATGGGTCCAAGGAATCTTGTGGATCTCCAAATGCCATTCAACACTCTTTAGCAGAGATATAATTTTGAAGATGTACGAATAGCTCCCAATTTTTGTTTCTGTGATGGGATGAAATTCCAAGAATTAACCATTGAAACACACTCTTCCCCATGGTGGGAAGTGTTTTTCTGAACTGGTGTAGGATTGAAGGGCTTTGAGCAGATAGGATCCTGTGTGTGTGTGTGTGTGTGTGTGTGTGTGTGTGTGTGTGTGTGTGAGAGAGAGAGAGAGAGAGAGAGAGAGAGAGAGAGAGAGAGAGAGAGAGAGAGAGAGAGAGAGGGAGAGGGAGGGGGAGAGAGAGAGAGAGATCAATGAAATAACCCTGTCTTAGGATGCTCCATTTCCTTTTTCAGGATTGGCCTTGGGAAAGCCAAGTCACATTTTTACACGCAGGCAGGCGACCCTGTGCCCAAACAGGTCAGCCAACCATGTTCACATCGAACAGGGTTTGGAAGGAGATGAGTGAAGATGCTGTCCTGCTTCACTCCTCCTCTTCCTAAAATAGGAGGATGAACTCTGGAGGATTTAAACCTAGTTTAGTTTTTAGTCTCCAGGGGGCGTACGAAAAAATTTCATTTTACGTACCTAAAACAGAAAATCTAACAAACATCGAGAAACACAGAGTAACTAATTTAGCTCCTAATCATCCTTCCCCAAGTGAAAAATCAAACAAAGAGAATCTTATGAAGCGACAGATGTCAGGGAAGAAAGAGAAAAATCTTAAAATGAATTCTCTGTCTCTGGGGGGAAATGAGGAGAACCCTTCTTGATCAACTTTCTACCAAGGATTCAAAATACTGGAGCAATGCATTTAAAACATGTTTTGCATTTCTATTTCCTACTTATTTGTTCTAATCTCTATGGACGCATAGTGTGAAGAACAATCCTTTAAAAAATAGATGTCTGAGGTCACAAACAGGAATCAAGATGAGCACTATAGAAATCAACTTCATAGGAAAATAAATCAACATTTGTACAAACAGCAGTCAAGATGAGAACTAGCCACCAGAACCCCATTATTCTCCTGGCCCAAACCCCCTGTAGGAACTCCAGAATCCCAAATTAACAAAACACTGTTGAAAGAAAAATCTTCATCAGGGTCCAGTCCAAGACGGGAATAAACGAAATGGAGACTGCTTTAGAAAGAAGGTTGTCGTTTATTGAAGAGCAGAGCCAGACAGAAATGAGGCTCTGGGAAAGCTGACCACGTGTACCTGGGAGTGGTGGGTTTTTATACCTTCTTGGGCTTTTTTGTTTGGAGTTGTTTCCTGTTCCTGTGGCATGAACTTTGACCTGAGCCTTTGAGTGCTTCCTTTTTGGTATTGGTGAGTTAATCCCATTATGTCCTAAAGTTCATGTTTCCTGTCCTTAGAGTTTGGGGGGGGGGGATGTAGGTTTCAGGGGTCTTTTGTCTTGTGGGAAGTCAGCAGCCTCCGAAAAAGAAATATTTTTGGGAATATTAAAAGGCAGAATATTATATTTCCCCAAAGGATCTTGAAGGCAGAACCCCCCCCCCCACAAGTCTCTCTGCCCCAAACAGAAACCATGTCTGCAGAAATGCAGATGTGATAATCTTGTCAGAAAGCTTGGATCTTGGATTACAAAGACAAAGATCTCTAGAATCAACAATCCCACACACCAAAAAAATCCAACAGTCGTCAACCATAGCCCAGGGAAGCAGGATTTGACCTTTGAGACATAATAGGATTAATCCACCACCATCAGAATACCAGAAAGGCACACTAAGACTCAGGTCAAAGTTCACGCCACAGGAACAACTCCAAAACAAAAGCTCAAGAAGGTATAAAAACCCACCACTCCCTACTACTACTACACTTGGTCAGTTTTTCCAGCGCCATCTTTCTGTCTGGCTCTCCTCTTCAATGAATTGCAACCGTCTTTCTAAAGCAGTCTCCATCTTGTTTGTTCTCAGCTTGGACTGGAGCCTGAGGAAGATTTTTCTTTCCACAGTCTTTCTAATCTCATCAACTCCAAACTTCCTGGCCCTAATCTTCCTGAATGAATCACTAAATCTGCATTTTTACAGACCTGATTTCTGTTTGGGGCAGGGAGAGGGGGCTGGTTTTTGTCTAAGATTTTCCTTTCTCCATTACTGTATTCCTTTAGGGAAATATAACATTATGCCTTTTTAATATTCCCCACAATATCTCTTTCTCTGGGGGAGGGAGGTGCTGTCCTCCCATACCACTATCCGATATAGAATATCCAAATTAATAATGCAACTATGACTTAACATGATCTTTTGATTCATGCAACTTTTACATGTTCCGCTTCTTAGCCTAACCCAGCTGAACCCCATTATCTTCCTAACTCCCTATGGGAACTCCAGAAGCCCAAATTAACAATCCACCATCCTATATATAGAGATATCTAGATATATATCTAGAATACCCGAATTAATAATGCACCTATGACTTAACATGATCTTTTGATTCATGCAACTCTTACAAACACATGTTCCCCTTCTTAGCCTGACCCAGCTGAACCCCATTATCTTCCTAACCTATGGGAACTCCAGAAGCACAAATTAACTCATCAGACTAGATAGATATAGATACATAGATATCTAGATATATATAGAATAGCCGAATTAATAATGCACCTATGACTTAACATGATCTTTTGATTCATGCAACTCCTACAAACATGTGTTCCGCTTCTTAGCTTTGACCCAGCTGAACCCCATTATTTTCCTAACCCCCTGTGGGAACTCCAGATTAACAAACCATCATGCGTTGCATATTGGACTAATACCCGAATTAATAAACCAGGTGCATGATTAACATGGTTAAACTGTACATGGTTTATTCTGAATCATGCAATTCCTACGAACACGTTTCCCACTTCTTAACCTAATCCAGCCTTGGTCAAAACTTGCCAGTTCCAGAAGTTCAGACTTCCAGCCTTGCATCCAGAACCGGCTGGGGGGCTTCGGACCAGCCTCCCCCCCCCATGCAAAGGCTCCCCCAGGAAATGCAGGAAACGGCCCCTCCCCTCTGGCGACCCCCATTTCTCTCCTTTGCTTCCCCCCTCCTCCCAGCCTGGGAAAGGGCGGCAGGGGAACATGGGATCTGGACTCCCATCCCGGGGGAAGACTTGGCCCGTCTCTGTGCTCACCTCCAGCTCGGGACCCCTTTGCACGGGCAGAGCCGCCATTCAACGGAACTCAGCAGTCTCGTCGGGATTCGAGTGCCCCCAAGTCTTACCGGCAACCCCTGCGCCTCCCCCCCAAGGCCCCGCCCCCGCCTCGCAGATGGGGGGGGGAAGGGGAGGAACAGAAAGAACAACCTCTTGCTACGAACGCCCCGAACAACACGCGCCTTATGCGCGCTGAAGAGCCCCGCGCATGCTCAGTTCCTTCCTGAGGCTGAGCGCGCCCCCTGGTGGGCTCTGCGCGAAGTGCCAGGACTCCCCGAAAGCGCGGGAAAGAGAAAGAGCGTCTGAGGGGAAAGGGGGAGGGCAGGGATGATGGGCATGGGAGTAGGAGGAAAAGTTCTCTGCCCGAGAATGGCTTCGTCCTCTCCGGCGGCGGCAGTTTCGCCCTCTTCCTCTCCGGGAACCGTCTGTGGAGATGGAGAAAAATCTCTCTGGAGGATTTGAACTCTCTTCCCTGAAGCACAGCCGCCCTGAAGGCTCCGTAGAGACTGGAGGAGGCTAATAGAGATAAGATAACCTTTCTTGTCATTTTTTACTGCGGGCACATTGGCACACATTAAAAATGGAAGTTTGTTGCTTGCTCTCAGAAGTGTACACATACATAACACACATATAGACATGCTATATACATACATATGTATATACCTACACCCTTACATATAAATATTAATCACTGTCCCATCTTGAACACAGAGCCGAAAGAGGAAGCTTGAGAGTTCACAAGGCTAATACTGTGTGGAACAAAACTGACAATCTTGATGTTCTGCTTCGGATACCACAAATACCAGGAGAATATTTGTAGCTCACGGTTGACATGAAGACTCGCTTGTTTTCTTGCAAGTGTTTCACTATCCGACAAAAACTATAGCCCAACCTATCAAAAACATAACTATAAGACAGACTAGAAATAAACATTAAAATAAGCAAGAAAATGGTAAGTGAAAACCTATTCGACCTTGATGAATATAAATCATTGGGACCTGACAGATTACATCCCAGAGTTTGGAAGGAGTTGGCAGATGTCATCTCAGAACCATTGTACCATATCTTTCAAAAATCCTGGAGCACCAAAAAAGTACCAGCAAAGGGCTGATATGGTTCCCATCTTCAAGAAAGGAAAGAAAAAAACAGACCCAGGAAACTACAGACCAATCAGTCTAACATCAATACCTGGGAAGATCCTGGAAAAGATAATAAAAAAACGGATCTATGAACATCTAGAAACAAAGTTTTATCTAGTAGCCAGCACAGGTGTGTTAAAAACAGATCATGCCAAACAAATATTTCATTCTTTGACAAAGTGACTAGTAGATCAGCGAAATGCTGTGGACATAGTATATTTAGATTTCAGCAAGGCATTTGACAAAGTAGACCACAACCTACTTCTTGGTAAGCTAGAAAAATGTGGATAGACAGCATCACCACAGATGGATTTGTAACTGGCTGACAAACCACAGTCAACGAGTAGTCCTTAATGGTACCATATCTACATGGAGGGAAGTAAGCAGTAGGGTACCACAAGGTTCCATCTTAAGCCCAGTACTCTTCAATATTTTCATCAATGACTTAGATGAGAGAATAGAAGGAGAATTTGTCAAATTTGCACATCATAAGCTGGTAGAAATAGCCAACACCCCAGAAGACAAGCTCAGGGTCCAAAAAGATCTTGACAACTTGAACAATGGGCCCTATCCAACAAAGTGAAATTTAATGTGGAGAAAAGAAAAGTTTTACATTTAGGCAGGAAAAATAAAAGGTATAAGTACAGATTAGGCGAGACTTGGCTCAAAAACAGTAACTGAGAAGGACCTTGGAGTCCTAGTGGACGATTACTTGAATATGAGCCAGGAGTGCGCAGTAGCAGCCAAAACAGCTAACACAATCCTGGGTTGTATAAACATAGGCATAGAATCAAGATCACGCAATGTATTAGTACTGCTTTATAAAACCGTAGTGAGACCACACCTGGAATACTGCAACCAATTTTAGTCACCATGCTACAAAAAAGATGTTGAGATCTTGGAAAAAGTTCAGAGAAGAGCAACTAAAATGATCAAATGCCTGTAAACTAAAACATATGAAGAATAGCTGCAGGACCTGGGTTTGGCTAGTCTAAAGAAAAGAAGAAATAGGGGTGACATGATAGCAGTATTCCAGTATTTGAGAGGCTGCCACAAAGAAGAGGAGGTCAAATTATTCTCCAAAGCACCGATGGCAGGACAAGAAACAATGGTTGGAAACTGACCAAAGAGAGAAGCAACCTGGAGTTAAGGAGAAATTTCCTAACTGAGGACAATTAACCAGTGGAACAGCTTGCCTTCAGATGTGGGTGCTCCATCACTGGAGGTTTTTAAGAAGAGACTGGACAGTCATTTGTCTGAGATGGTATAGAGAATGGGAAGACTTTAAATTACCTCAAGAGGCATCCTGACTTAGGTCTTCCTGAGGGATTCTCCTGTAAAACAGCTCCTGAGGGGGATTTGATTGATTCCTCCTTCCCTCAGGATCTTTGATCTCCACAATGAAGGATTTCAAATAGGAGGAAGGAAAAAAAGAAACAGAATTAAGTACATCCCACAACATAAAGTGGATTTTTATATTTGGAACACAATATCGGAATATTATATTTGGTACACAATATCCACCTGTGAGGTTGAGTAAGGGGAAGGAGGGTGAAGAATTCAAACACATTCTTTATTCCCTTCTGAGCTCTCTAGATCAGAGGTAGGCAACCTTGGCTCTTTTATGACTCATGGACTTCAACTCCCAGAATTCCTGAGCCAGCCATGCTGAGGGGAAAGGGAGAGGTTTCCAAGCTGAGCCATGCTGGCTCAGGAATTCTGGGGATTGAAGTCCACGAGTCATAAAAGAGCCAAGGTTTCCTATCCCTGCTCTAGATGAAAGTGTCTCATCTGCAACTGAACCTGCTTCTCCACCTGGCTCAGGAGGAAGCCATCCACACTCCCACACCCAGCTCTCTGGGGGGCAGAAGGGCCAGCATCTGAGTTTTGGTGTGTTTTTCTGGTTTCAGCCATCGCCTACAAAAGTCATGGAGTTGGCTGCCAAGTCCTCGGGGACCCTCAGCCTCCTGGTATTAGAGGCTTCTGAAGTTCCAGGGCTGAACTTCTGAACAGATGATGGTTTCCTCCTCTGGGATCTTCTGCCCAGTTCTTGCCCAGACTTCCCCACAGTTCCCAGGCTGAACAGCAGAAGGGTCTTTTCCAGTTCCCTCATTTACTAAAGGTTGTGTTTTAATTCCATCTCTGACCTCTAACATAACTCCAAATGGTTTCCAGGAATCTTGTGGATCTCTAAACTCCTTTTCATTCATAGGACCATTTGTGTTGCCATAGGACTGATCACTGCAAGTTATTCTCCCCAAATGGCTTCGGGTTTGTGTATCTGAGATGGAAAAGAAAACTAAATTCCAAGAATTACAAAGTGGAGAATTTAGCCATTGAATAACTTTCACACAACTGGCCCCGAGCCCAACTGTGTCAGCCAAGCACAGGGCTGAGGTCCGCCCCAAACAGGGCCGGGCAAAAGAAAGGAGCTGGCATGTTTCCCTCCCCACCATCAGGAACCTTCTCAATTCAGGTCCTTTTGACAACTTCGTAGTGTCTCCAGCCTTCCATCTTCAGGAGGATTTCTGGGGAAAGTCACCTCCCTATAGAGGAAGCGAAAGAAAAGACTGGAAATAGCATTCAGTATTCTTCTTATTCCAGGGATTTAAAATAATCTTGCCTTTTTCTCAATCTGTATAGTGCAGCGGTTCTCAACCTATGGGTCGCGACCCCATTTGGGGTCGAATGACCATTTTACGGGGGTCGCCAAACAATGCAATCCGCCATTTTTCCCCCTCGGGGGCGGGCCCGCGCATGCGCACCACGCCACGCATGCGCGGCACGTCCGTGTGACCTGGGGTCGCCGTATAAAAAGGTTGAGAACCACTGGTATAGTGTTATCCCAGAAAACTGGTTCTGCCCGATGTGCGATACCCAATAAACACACCGAGGTGGAGATTTGCAAAAGCTTTATTCTGAGTAGAGGAAAGATACAGGGGGATCATTCTCAAATAGGCCTGTGCAAAGACCACTCCTTCCATAATACATTTTTACAGATACTCCCACTTTAAGCCATCCCCTCTTTGATCATCCTAAGACCCCATTAATGTTTATTAATATTGCTTGGTTTGCAGGTACAATATTTAGCAATGATCAGAACATTTACCGCCAATTTCCAGTAAGACAGCAGCCCCCCCCTTCTAAATTCCCCTTTTCTCATGCATTATTTTATGGATTCAAGCCAAAATATTTATATTCCAGCATATAATCATCCAGCTCAAAATGTATTTTAAGCACATCCATTTCCCAGGCTTCATGTTCACGCAATTGCCTTCTCCCATGTCTACATTTGGGGTTCTGTTTTTAGCAAGCCTTAACAGATGATTTAGCAAGCCAAATTGTGTCCATATCTCTTTATGCAAAAACTCTTAGCTAACTTCAATGTAGCAATAGCTGTACCTAGCTCTCTCTCTCTCTCTCTCTCTCACACACACACACACACACAGAAATATAGTTTATTAGCATTTTCCCCAATGTACAAATTAAACTAATACAACTACATAACGCAGAAATTTTTTCTTAAAAGTTAAAAGGGTACAGAAAATGGAAAACGTTCCCCGTTCACCCCAAGAATTATATATAAAAGTTTAAATGTGAAATATTTGCTTAATTAAACTATTCATTAGATAACGTCCTGAGCACAAATATTATTTCAGCAATACATATTCAGCTATAATTTCTCCAAGTATTTCCTGATTTGTGCCTTGTCCTAATATGCCTGGAGTTGCATCTTGTTAGCTAATCCCTAAGCTTGCTCTCAAAAATTAAACATTTATAGAACTTTTTGGAGGGATTTGGGCCTTCTCTATCATAATCAGATGGAAAATGGTCTAAATGGGAGGAAAAAAAGATTTTCTCTTATTTATGTGAAATAGCATTGAATACATTCAAATGATGGCAGCTTTAAAAACCCACTTTTCATAATTAAAACACATGCCCATTATTTGGTTTCAATTGGTAAATTCAGCTTTCTGGGACTGCCACTTGTGAAGATCAGATTTAAAAAAAACTTCTCCTAATTCAGCATATGTAAATAGAAAATGCTTATATTTCAAAAACTAAACGTACAATTTACATGGATTCATACTGTACTCAAATGGTCTGTATATGGAACATTCAGTCATTGCTCCACCTGAAGAGCTGAAGAAGCTTCTTGGATGAGAAGCGAAATGTCTTCAAAGAAAAACAAGAAAGTCCAGCTGCCTAGTGAAAAAGCATCTTTGCTCCTCTTGAAGTTTTCCTCCCCCCTCCATATTTCACAAATTTAAATGGCTTCTCCTATGTGGATATTGTTATCGGAATTAAGATAATGGCCCCGAGAAAAGGTCTTTCCACATTCCATGCATTTATAAGGCTTTTCCCCTGTGGGTTTTTTTATGGAAGTTAAGAGAACTGTTTGTAATAAAAGCTTTACCACACTCCATGCATTTATAAGGCTTCTCCCCTGTATGGATCCTACTATGGTAAATCAGTTGACAGTTCTTAGTAAAGCTCTTTCCACATTCTACGCATTTATGTGGCTTCTCTCCTGTGTGGATCATTTTATGGGAATTCAGATATTTGCTGCTAATAAAGCCCTTTCCACATTCTATGCATTTATAAGGCTTCTCCCCTATATGGGTTCTTTTATGGATGTTAAGAGAACTGTTTCTAGTAAAAGCCTTACCACACTCCATGCATTCATAGGGCTTCTCTCCTGAGTGGATCCTACTATGGTAAATAAGTTGACAGTTCTTAGTAAAGCTCTTTCCACACTCTATGCACTTATGTGGCTTCTCCCCTGTGTGGATCATTTTATGGATGGTAAGAATTCTCCGATGAGTGAAGCTCTTTCCACATTCCATGCATTTATGTAGCTTCTCTACTGTGTGGATCATTTTATGGATGGTAAGAATTCTCCGATGAGTGAAGCTCTTTCCACATTCCATGCATTTATGTGGCTTTTCTCCTGTGTGGATCATTTTATGGGAATTCAGATAATTGCTGCTAATAAAGCCCTTTCCACATTCTATGCATTTATAAGGCTTCTCCCCTGTGTGGGTTCTTTTATGGATGTTAAGAGAACTGTTTCTAGTAAAAGCCTTACCACACTCTATGCATTTATAAGGCTTCTCCCCTGTATGGATCCTACTATGGTAAATAAATTGACAGTTCTTAGTAAAGCTCTTTCCACACTCTATGCATTTATACGTCTTCTTTTCTGTGTGCATCCTTTTATGGGAAGTAAGTTGGCTATTCTGAGCAAAGGTCTTTTCACACTCCGTGCATTCATAGGGCTTCTCTCCTGAGTGGATCCTCTTATGATTTGTAAGGTGATTGTTTTTAGTAAAGCTCTTTCCACACTCCATGCATTTATACGGCTTCTCCCCTGTGTGGATCATTTTATGCATGGTAAGAATTCTCCGATGAGTGAAGCTCTTTCCACATTCCATGCATTTATGTGGCTTCTCTACTGTGTGGATCATTTTATGGATGGTAAGAATTCTCCGATGAGTGAAGCTCTTTCCACATTCCATGCATTTATGTGGCTTCTCTCCTGTGTGGATCATTTTATGGGAATTCAGATATTTGCTGCTAATAAAGCCCTTTCCACATTCTATGCATTTATAAGGCTTCTCCCCTGTGTGGGTTCTTTTATGGATGTTAAGAGAACTGTTTCTAGTAAAAGCCTTACCACACTCCATGCATTTATAAGGCTTCTCCCCTGTATGGATCCTACTATGGTAAATAAATTGACAGTTCTTAGTAAAGCTCTTTCCACACTCTATGCATTTATACGTCTTCTTTTCTGTGTGCATCCTTTTATGGGAAGTAAGTTGGCTATTCTGAGCAAAGGTCTTTTCACACTCTGTGCATTCATAGGGCTTCTCTCCTGAGTGGATCCTCTTATGATTTGTAAGGTGATTGTTTTTAGTAAAGCTCTTTCCACACTCCATGCATTTATATGGCTTCTCTCCTGTGGGAGTTCTTTTTTGAGATGTACGGGACCCATTTTCATGGAAAAAAAAGAACGTCTGTTTGTCATTTTTTCGATTGTTTCTGCATACATAATCTCCTTTGGTTTGAGTTTCCAAGTGTTTATTTATATCTAATTTGTCTTTGAAGAGTTTTACACTTTTCCCAATATATTTTTTATTTGCTTTTCCTTGTTGGGCAATAAAATCTTGCATTGGACCATGAACAGACAATGAGCTTTCCTGATTCCAATTATTTGACTGGTTTCTCCCATGGCTTTCTACTTCCATTTGAATTGCAGGGTTCTCCATGCTGTCTCCAGAATTGATTGTTTGGAATAGTTCCCCAGAGTCCTCATTTTCTTCCCCATTATTACCTTCACAGGAAAAGAAAAAATGGAAATAAAGCAAGGTTAGGGAAAAAGTGCAAACTGTAAGAAGTTTGAATATAATGAAAAACAAACCCCATCAATCTTCTTAGATGCAAAGGTAGCTTTTGAAAAATTGACTTGGACTTTCTTGATTAAACTTTTGGAAGATAAATCTAAGTTTGTATGGAAAAAACACAGGTTAAATATCAAATTTTCCAAGAATCAGAAGAAAAGGGAGGATATGGTCTGCTCAGTTTGAAACTGTGCATTGCATTGCAGCCTGCTGTTTGTTTTGGATGAAAGAATGGGGTTTGGTGAGAAATAAGAGAATTTTAGAACTAGAGGAGCAGGACCTAAGATTTGGATGGCATGGATATTTGTGATACGATAAAGTTAGGATTAATCTAGATTTTAAAAGCCATAATGTTAGAAGTGCCACACTGAGCACATGAAACAGACATAAACCCAGACTGTGCTCCAAAATAACTTCATAGCTCTCAGCACAAGAAGCATTTTACAGAAGAGTAGCAGCAGGCAAAGTCAATAGATAACATGTTGGGAGCCATCAGAACTTGAGCAAACTGAGTACCAAATGAAATCAAGAGCAACTGATGGCAGAAAGATAACAATTCTCCCTGACTTTCATATTGTTACTGGAAAATTCAAGGTGGGGAAAAAGCATCTACGGTATTCAACAACATAAAACAGAAATTGAATCTTAGTGAAGGAGAAAGAATGGACATGTAATTTCAACCATGAGCTACAAATATTCTCCTTCGTTGGACATGTAATAGCTAAAAGCTATAAACAGGTTAATGTATGATAAAATGAGCACAGATGTTGTGTCGTAATATATACAGTAGCTGTAACAGCGGGAAAATATATGATTGAAAATACTGATATTTACATTAAGTTATAATTTAAAAGGCAACTTTTATAAAGTGATATACCATTGGTATAGAAAAATGTTCAAAAATGTATAGGTGACTCAAACATATATTGGAAATGTGGACAACCTGAAAGCTCATTTTGTTTTGGATTCAAAGACATAAAGTAATAAAATTTTAAAGATCAATATCAATATCCAACTGAAATCAGAACACTTTATATTGGGACTAATTAACAGGCAGATGGAAAACAGTCATAAAAGATTGTTTCTGAGTATGATAACCATAGTGAAACTATTATATCCCCAAAGCTGGAAGGGTTCTACAATAATGATGGAATGGTTGGCGAAGATGACAAAATGATCAAAGATGACTAAATTGACTTCTTTGATTACAGAAAGGATAGTATCTATATTGATTAGTGATTGGAAAAACCCCGAAGGAATTTTTGCTGAAATGTGTAACGTTTGAAGATTAGAAAGGATAAACTATGTAAAGGAGAAAACTGAACTAACCTTAGAGGGGCTAAATTATAACTTCTTTATTACTTTGTCTTTTCTCCCCTTTCCTTTTTTAATTTCATTGTATTTTTTTCTTATTCATTTATCACTTACACTATCTTCTTTATTTCTTTTTCAGAACTTTTATTGCTTTTATTCTGATAAAATTTCTTTAATAAACTTATAAAAAAGGAAATAGCTGATTTCATCTAATTTAAAACTGTCTTCCCAAATTTTGTGAGTGGACAGTAGCAAACCCTTACCCAGAGAAGCTATGTTTCTATGATTTTCTAGCATGACTTCCCAATGCAGCGCTTTTTGGTCAGGATTCAGCTGAGACCACTCCTCCTTGGAGAAATACACAGTCACCTCCTTGAAGGATACAAGACTCTCCTGAACAAGGGGAAAAAAAAAACACAATAAGACCAGGAAGATTTACAAGATCTGTCTGACCATTTAAATTATCCCAAGCACAGAAACTTCCAGTTTGGTGTCATGACGAGATAGGCGAAAGAAATCAGGGGACCAGTTTCCTAGTCTGGTTTTGCTCCATCTGGAGACCCCAGAGGGTCAGAAAGTTGCCCTGGGGAGGTGACAAAAAGGAAGAGAAGCCTTGGGAGCTTGGAGCCAACGGCAGTCGGCCCAAATGAACCGAGGAACCTCTTCAAATGGAAGGAAGAAAGTGTGCCTGTAAATACACACTTATATAAAATGTTTTATAGATGGCACTTGCCATCAGTAAGACTAGCAAAAATGTTTAAAAATATGTCAGATAGATGTTGGAAATGTAATCATAAGTCAAGTACCTATTATGTATGGTGGACATGTGTTAAAGCAAGGAGATATTGGACAAAATACATACTTGGCTACAAAAGATGTTGGGAAAACATGTAGATTTTAAACCTGAACTTTTTTTTACTAGATATAATGCCAGAAAAGCTTGATAAACAAAGTATATATTTGATTTTACATGTGATAACAGCGGCAAGAATCATATTGGAAAAATGAAGGAATACCACCACAGGAAGAAATAATTAAAAAAATACTGCGGAAAAATTGTGCGGAAATGGACAGACTTACTCTGAGGTTGAAAGAAAAAGAAGAAACAGAATATTTTCAAACTTGGGACTTACTTGATCAATGGCTGGAGAAAAGAACAAGGGATTGGGAATTCAATTTGTATTAGTGAATGATAACTGAGACAACAGGTTTGTTGAATAAGTATCTTTGAATTATATTAAAAAATCAATAATAAAAAAATACAAAATTATCCCAAGCACAGATATGCACTTTCAGTACCATTTGATGAAAAAAACACCAGCTTCCTACTGGACTTCTATCTATCTGTCTGTCTATCTAGCTACCAACCTACTTTGCTTCCATCCATCCATCCAGATTTTCACCATCTGAAGGGAATCAACTGGCAGATGGGCCTCAGAAACCTCACCTATCAGTGACTTTGAGTGAACCCCTAGCAGTTCACCTTCCAATGATCCTGACCTTATGTAATCTCCCTATCATAAAACCCATCACCAACCTCTCACTGATGACTCACTCTTGACCCACTGATAATTCACCTCCTGAAGTAACCTCCCCATCACAAGATCGATCACAAACCTCTCTCTGATGACTCATCACAAGATCCACACTTGACACATCCATACCTGAAGCCCTTATAAATAGAACACTGACACAGACCTCCCCTAAATGCTGCTGAAGATATTACCTAGCCTGGTAATGAAACATTCAGAAACCAACCCACAAGCTCGGTGAACGAACTTTTACTCTCATCCTACACCCAAGCTACAGATATTTGCCACTGTTGCAAACTTCAATCCATTCTGTGTTCGCAGAAAAAAATGGGTGGGTGGGATTCTTTTTACCATTTAATTAAAAGTCTTGTGGTGTCCCCAAAAGGAACAGTCTTCTTCATGCTCAACACCTTCATCAAAGTGCTGCAAGAGGCAGCCAGGGATTTAAGTCGGGTGTCATCAATATCCAGAGACACACAACCCTATTTCTGCTTCTCCTCAGAATTGCAAGGTAGCCATAGCTAACAGTCTAAATCACTGGCTTAACAGGAGAAACTAAAGAGGAGAAATTGCCTGGGAAGAGCATTTCTCATCCTTTGCAAAGCTGGATGCTTTGGACCTCAAATCCAGGCACAAATTGAAGGATTAAAAATTATGTTGAGGGGTCCTTGGTGTTCTCTAAGCTTGGTTCTTTTCTTGCAGATGTTTCATTACCCCAACTAGGTAACATCATCAGTGCTGGAAATTATTTTGCAGGCAAAAATTGCCTTGATTATATGCTCTATCAAGCCAGCCACTTTCAAATTTAATGATCTGCTTTATCTTCTAATGTGGTGTGATTATTCTTCTCAACACTAGTAAAAATAAGGCCTTTTAAAAATGGTTCTGTGCTAATGTGATTATTTCAGTTACTAATGAGCAATCTTGCATAGTGGCACGTCAAAGAATTACTAAAAGGATCACGCTCCGTAGCAGATGCTAATGCTGTGATAGCCTTATTTTTTATTATCCTTCTCTTACTTGAGTTGTTGGTTGAACAATTGTTTTAGTTCCATCACAAGCAGGAGTTATCTTCATTTTATTCTTCACTGTGAGGAGACAGAAGTTTAACATGTAAAATTAACAAAATAGGAAAAGGTATTCTACAGAAGAGGAGATAGCAGGAATTTCTCTGGGGAATGGAATGACCCTTGATTACCTCCTGAGGTATCCTGGCTTGGATCTTCCTGAGAGATCCTCCTGAACAACATCTCCTGGAAAGGATTTGATGGATTCCTCCTTCTCTCAGGATCTCTGATCTCCACAGCAAAGGACTTGAAATAGGAGGCAAGAGAAAAGAAGAATTAATGGACGTCACACAATGTGAAGTGGACTCTTGTTCTCCAAACGCAACCTGAAAGTTCCCAATATCCATCAGTGAGGCTGAGTGAGAAGTAAATTGTACAATATTCTAAAAGAAGTTGTGGGATATCGGACTTCCAGTTTGCCTTGCAGTGGAATGGGGTGCAGGAAGGCAGGGATCTTTGCCCAATTACACTCTCTGGGGGCCCTAAAAAGGGCCTAAAGTCACCCCGAAGAAGCAATGAAGAGGAGGGATGCCTTGTTGATCACGGAGGGATGGGGGTCTTTCCGTTTGATCCAAGGAAAGCCCCGGAAACCGGTAGGGGAAAGTCCTGCTACATTCCTGTGGCCAGCCATTAGCTGCTGACAACCGAAGAAGAAAAAGCACCAGTTAATACATCGTAAAGAGCATGTTTGTAGCTGAGTGAGAATATTGATCCTTTCTTTACTATTTTACAATTGAATTTCCTGGGAAAGGCTCCCAAGAAGCTAAAAACCTCCGAATGTAAACGGAAGCAGCGTTTTAATTTTATGGAGGACAAAAGCATACAATACTGAAGTGGAAGTAACATAAAGCGACAGTTTTTGATAAATTTGAGAACTGAGATAACTGTTAAGATTTCCTCTTTGAAAAAAAAAATAAAAAACATCGAAGTGAAATATAAGAAATCAATCCTTTGTTTTAAGAGTGGAAAATGGATTTTGAATGACATCGTGGTGGATTTGTGTATAGCACTATAATTTGCTTCCTGGCTACTAGGTGATTCCTAGTTTGGGAGAACAGCTGGCAATAAAGGAAAATATTTTGGCATACTTATCACTCTGACCTTCTTGGATTATAAATACCTACTGAGCTTGGATTTCTAACCTCAACAGCTAGTGGGAGAGAAAAAATTGACCTTGGACTACACCTGGCTGGGAGAGACTTTTGAGCTGTTTTCAGAGAGGTTGAACATTTTGAACACTATGAACATTGTGGATTACAATCTTGCCTGATTGTCAACTTTTGGATACTTGAGACAAAGGATCACTATAAAATATTACCTTCATGACTGAATCTGTAAACTGGAATCTATTGGATTATAAAGGATACATATAAAGACCAAAAACTAAACTTTGATCTACTCTTACTGAGACTGGTGATTCTAGAGGATCTCCAGGAATGATGCCTCAAGAAAAAACAACACTTTTCAGAAGGAAATATATTCTATGCTACAACTAATTCACCAAACAATTGTTGCATACAAAGAGGACATAAAAAGAAATCATAATGAGACTAAAACAATTTAGACAATATAAATTAAAGAAGAGGGAATCAAGCTATTTTCCAAAGCACCTGAAGACAGGACAAGAAGCAACGGGTGGAAACTAATCAAGGAGAGAAGCAACCTAGAACTAAGGAGAAACTTCCTGACAGTGAGAACAATTAATCAGTGGAACAGCCTGCCTGCCTCCAGAAGCAGTAAATGCTCCAACACTGGAAGTTTTTAAGAAGAGACTGGACAGCCATTTGTCCGAAATGGTGTAGGGTTCCTGCCTGAGCAGGGGGTTGGACTAGATGACCTCCAAGATCCCTTTCAACTTTACTACTACTACTATTATTATTATTAAATGAGAAAATCTCCAAATTAAATCTACAACTGGAAAATTCCCAGATAACGACTACAAAGCATGAACAAATAAACCAGAAATCAGAAGACGAAACAGAGAAAATGGATTTAGAGGTGGAAGAGATAAAAGAAGTGAAATATAAAAGACTATATACAAACAAAATACTGCAAGACTTAGCTATAATAATGAAAATGCAAAAGACCCTTTACCCCTTAGGTCTGCAAAATACATCTGATGGCAAGGAAGAAGATTTTAAAAAATGGAATATAGAGCTGTTAGGGGAAATATCACAATTTGGAAGACAGGGAATGAAAAGAGAAATTGAGGGAGAAAGAAACTGGGAGTTGTTTAAGGAATATAAATGCACAGAATTCTCCCCCCCCCCCAAAAAAATACACTTCCTAAATTGCCAAGCAATTTTCACAAAAATAGAAAGAAAATTCCTGGGTGATCTAATTGCCCTGCCTTGGAAAGCTACTTGGCAAAGAAAGAAAGCAAGAGTCAGATTTAAAAAACAGAAGATTTGACCTTTAGGAGGGGGCATTATATGTTTAAATACTTGTTTGAATAAGATTAAAAGAATGGATGATCCTTAGATGTGATTAGACTTTTATAATGATAGATATGATTTAGAACTAAAATAGCATTTTTTTCTTTTCTTTCTTTCTTTGATATGGGAAATAAGAAAATAAGAGGATTGATATGAATAAAACTTTTAGCTATATAAATGTAATTAATACTGAGAAAATTATAATTGACAAAGATATTTCAAATACGGATGGGAAATCAAACGCTAACAAGACCACGAAAAACAGGATATTGATTTATGGATTGACATTACTGATTTATGAATTGATATTGTTATTTGTATGATATTATGTAAAATATGATGAAGATGCTTATATCAAAATATCTCCACATATTATGAAGGCCAGAGAAGTCTGGGAAGGAGGGAGTGGAGAATTCAAACATGTTCTTTATTCCCTGGGTTCTTGTCTAGATGAATGTGTCTCACCTGCAACTGAACCTGCTTCTTCTGCTCCTCTGCCTGACTCAGGAGGAAGCCTTCAGCCAAGGCCACTGCCTGGGAGCTGGTCTCTGCTCCACACTCCCACACCCAGCTTTCCATTTTCAGGGGCAGAAGGGCCAGGAACTGCTCCAGAACAACCAAGTCCAGCATCTGGGCTTTGGTGTGCTTTTCTGGTCTCAGCCATTGCCTACAACAATTGTGGAGTCGGCTGCAAAGTTCTCGGGGACCCTCAGCCTCCTGGTATTGGAGGCTTCTGAAGTTCCAGGGCTGAACATCTGAATGGATCATGGTTTCCTCCTCCAGGACCTTCTGCCCAGTTCTTACCCAGATCTCCCCACAGTTTCCAGGCTGAATAGCAGAACAGACCTTTCCAGTTTCCTCATTTACTAAAGATTGTGTCTCCATTCTTTCTCTGTCCTAAAACAGAACTCCAAAAGGAAATCTTGTGGATCTCCAAATGCTTTTTCATTTGTAGGACCGATCCTGTATCAACTGGAATGACAGCAGAAGACCATTCAGTTCTTTTTTCCTGCAAGAGATAATTTTTACATGCCAAAAAGTTCAAATGAATCCACTTTATGTATCTGAGATGGAAAAGAAAACGAATTCCAAGAATTAGAAAGTGTAGATTTAACCATTGAAACAAAACTAACCAGAGTAGAATGAAACATTTTTCTGATCTGATGTAATAATAATGATGATGATGATGATAATAATAATAATAATAAAGTTGGAAGGGACCTTGGAGGTCATCGAGTCCAACCCCCTGCTCAGGTAGGAAACCCTATACCATTTCAGACAAATAGCTGTGCAATCTCTTCTTAAAGACTTCCAGTGTTGGAACATTCACAGCTTCTGGAGACAGGTTGTTCCACTGATTAATTGTTCTCACTGTCAGGAAGTTTCTCCTTAGTTGTAGGTTGCTTCTCTCTTTGGTTAGTTTCTATCTATTGCTTCTTGTTTGCCTTCAGGCACTTTGAAGAATAGCTTGACTCCCTCTTCTTTGTGGCAGCCCCTGAGATATTGGAACCCTGCTATCATGTCCCCCCTCATCCTTCTCGTCATTGAACTAGACATACCCAATTCCAGCAATGGTTCCTTGTAAGTTTTAGCCTCCAGTCCCCTAATCATCTTTGTTGCTCTTCTCTGTATTCTTTTTAGAGTCTCAACATCTTTTTTACATTGTGGCGACCAAAACTGGATACAGTATTCCAAGTGTGGCCTTACCAAGGCATTGTAAAGTGGTATTAATACTTCACATGATCTTGATTCTATCCCTCTATTAATGCAGCCTAGCACTGTGTTGGCTTTTTTGGCAGCTGCAGCACACAGCTGGCTCATATTTAAGTGATTGTCCACTAGGACTCCGAGGTCCCTCTCACAGTTACTACTATTGAACAAGGTACCCCCTATACTAGTCGGACACGACTTCGCAATTAACAACAACAAGAACAACATTTGGTTTTTCTTGCCTAAATGTAGAACCTTACTTTTTTCACCACTGAATTTCATTTTGTTAGATAGGGCCCAATGTTCAAGTCTGTCCAGATCCTTCTGTATCTTAAGCCTGTCTTCTGGAGTGTTGGCTATTCCTGCCAGCTTGGTGTCATCTGCAAATTTGATGATTTCCCCATCTATCCCCTCTTCTAAATCGTTGATGAAGAGCACTGGGCCCAGAACAGAGCCCTGGGGCACCCCATTACACACCTCCCTCCATATAGATGCAGTTCCATTGAGGACCACTCGCTGAGTAGCTGAGTACGGTTAGTCCCGTCAGCCAGCTACGAATCCATCTGGTAGTGATGCTGTCTAACCCACATTTTTCTCTTATCAAGTAGTAGGTTATGATCTACTTTATCAAATACCTTGCTGAAGTCCAAATAAATTATAACCACAGCATTCCTCTGGTCCATTAATTTTGTCACTTGATTAAAGAATGTATATTTGAAGAAACTTTCAGCAGACGTGTGTTTCTGTGTGTGTGTGTGTGTGTGCGCGCGCGTGTGTCTGTTTCTTTTACTGTGGGTGCATTTTCTGTGTTGCAAATATGATATAGATTTCTATCACGAACTTGATTGCTCAATAAATGCATTTTCTTAAAAACAGCTTCCTTTTAAAAACCTTACCCTCCAAGTAGGGTAAGAAGGGCCGGGCACGGGTCTCAGCCTCCTCACCCGCCTCCCTTTCCACAGGAAGAGCCTCCCTCCGCACCTAAGGCACTTGTGAATCTCTCCACCTGCTCCCGCGGCCTCTTTGCCTCCCGCGGAGCTCCAGGGGTTAAGGCAAGCGAGTGTGGCGTCCTACAGAGGCAAGGGTCAGGGATGTCATTTCCTTCACAATCTCAAAACAAGCCAGACCTCCAGTTGTTCCTTTTCTTGGCCAAGCGCACCCCCTGGAGGATCCCCTGTGCAATGCAGCTTCTCATGCCAAGAGGGCAGAAAAGGAGCATTTTCCATGGGGGAAGAAAAGAGGAATGTCCTGTCTCATCATCTTTTTGTTCCTTAATCGTGAAGCTCATCTGAAGGGCTCCTCCAGAAGGTCCTGGAGGCAAAAGCCAGCCAGGGTTTACAGATGGGGATCTGGTGTAGGTGGGCTAGCTTGTACGACACTAAGCTGGCAGGAATAGCCAACACTCCAGAAGACAGGTTTAAGATACAGAAGGATCTGGACAGACTTGAACACTGGGCACTAACTAACAAAATGAAATTCAATGGTGAAAAAAGCAAGGTTCTACATTTAGGCAAGAAAAACCAAATGCACAAGTACAGCATAGGTGGTACTATGCTCAATAGTAGTAATTGTGAGAGGGACCTCGGAGTCCTAGTAGACAATCACCTAAATATGAGCCAGCAGTGTGCTGCAGCTGCCAAAAAGGCCAACACAGAGCTAGGCGGCATTAACAGAGGGATCAAGAACAGGTAAAGTGTTAATACCACTTTACAATGCCTTGGTAAGGCCACACTTGGAATACTGCATCCAGTTTGGGTCACCACAATGTAAAAAAGATGTTGAGACTCTAGAAAGAGTACAGAGAAGAGCAACAAAGATGATTAGGGGACTGGAGGCTAAAACATATAAGGAACAATTGCTACAATTGGGTATGTCTAGTTTAACGAAGAGAAGGACAAGGGGGAACATGATAGCAGTATTCCAATATCTCAGGGGCTGCCATAAAGAAGAGGGAATTAAGCTATTTTCAAAAGCACCTGAAGGCAGGACAAGAAGCAACGGATGGAAACTAATCAAGGAGAGAAGCAACCTAGAACTAAGGAGAAACTTCCTCACAGTGAGAACAGTTAATCAGTGGAACAACCTGCCTCCAGAAGCAGCAAATGCTCCAACACTGGAAGTTTTTAAGAAGAGACTGGACAGCCATTTGTCCGAAATGGTGTAGGGTTTCCTGCCTGAGCAGGGGGTTGGAGTAGATGACCTCCAAGGTCCCTTTCAACTTTACTACTATTACTATTTCAGGACATTTTCTTAACAATTTCTCCTTGTCAAAAGTCCTTTTCCTTCAATTGATATGCTAGTGTCTTGTAAAGCAAGCCAACATACAAAGAGAGATGCACACATTAACTGGAAAAATACCACTGAAAAGTAGAAATCACTTATAGGGTGATAGTAATCGGTGATCCTTCCTTCCTTCCATCCTCAAATTCCTTCCGTCCTCCCTCCCCAAAGGTGCTTTTCCCAAAAGGCAATTGAACTTTGAAAAGTTTTCGTTTCTCATCCAAGAAGTTTCTTCAGTTCTAAATGATTGGTGGGGAACGCAAGGATTTATATTCTTTGCAGTTATCTGATCGTTAGCTTTATGAGCGGCCTTTTGGAAAATGCACCTTCAGGATAATGTTGACCTGGATGATTGTTGGATGATTGTTGTTGGTGATCCTTCCTTCCTTCCTTCCTTCCTTCCTTCCTTCCTTCCTTCCTTCCTTCCTTCCTTCCTTCCTTCCTTCCCCCCTCCCTCAAATTTAGACCTTACTCTTCCTTCTGAGCTGCAGCCATTGTACATAGCATCCCACCCCCAATATATCTAACAAGACATGCACGATATAGATGACCTTTATTGAATGTTTTAATGATTTCATGATTTAACTTACATGGTCTTGTGGTTCATTTGCAATACTTACTTTCCCCTTGTACAGACAGTCACAGACTGATAGACCGGACAACCGTTTGATCGAGATGGTATAAGAACTCCTTACCTTGAGCGGGGTGGATGGGGGTGGGGTGGGGTGGTTGGACTAGAAGACCAACTAAGTCCCTTCCAGCCCTAGGATTTTATGTTCCATGAAGAGGCAGAAATCATGGATGTTAGGACGATTCCTCTAAACAGCTTCTCCAGATGAGAAGAGAAATATCAACAACCTAAGATATGCAGATGATACCACTTTACTGGCAGAAAGTGAAGAGGAACTTTACGAACTTTCTTGCCACAGTTAAGTGAATCATTGCAGTTAAGTTAGTAACACGGCTTCTCCACTGAGTTTATCAGAACGTTGCAAAAGGTGACCTTATGACTGGAGGACACTGCTGCCATCACAAATATGATCATGCGACCACTGGGATGCTGCAATGGTCGTGTGAAAAATGATCTGAAGGACCAATTCTGTCCATGCACAACACCTTCATAAATGTGCTGCAGTCAAGGATTTAAGTGTGGGGCCATCAATATCCAGAGACACACAGCTGTTGACTCCTCCTTCTCCTTTGTGCAGAAAATCATTAAAAGATTCTACTTCAAGCAGACAAAGGCACAATTAATAATTCTGGCTGAAGTTAACTCAAAGCTTACAAAATCCTCTAATATTTATTAATAAGCTAGCAGATCCTCAAACTGGAAGAGTGTCATAGCTTTGAAGTAACAACTAGGCAAATTTCTACTCATCCTAAACCTGCTTGCAAAGGGAAAAAGCTCTAATGCTGAGATGTTAAATTAGACAACAGCAGCAAGATGGATGGACATCATGGTGACAAGTGCATCATTGGCATTACTAAAGGTGAGGCACAGATCCTCCTAAAGCTACTTGTTTTAAGTGCTCCATGTGTGGATGTGGCTCAGAACAGACTGAAAGGGATGGTTATTAGTGGTGAATGCTCCAACACAGGAAGTTTTTAAGAAGAAACTAGACAGCCATTTGTCTGAAATGGTGTAGGGTTCCTGCCTGAGCAGGGGGTTGGACTCGATGACCTCCAAGATCCCTTCCAACTTTATTATTATTATTATTATTATTATTATTATTATTATTATTATTATTAATCATCGCACAGTCAGCCAGATGTTCAAGACTGGATTTGGCATTTTGTCTACCTATCGAGTCCTTACCCAGGACCAGGGATAGGCAGATGTGGATGTTTGATGGTATTACAGGTATCGTCGCAGGATGGAAGCAGTTCCTAGTAAGGCTGCCTTTTGC